TTTGTAAAACTGGAAAGGAGGAAAAAATTCTCAAACGTATTTTATGAATCCAAGATTATCCTGATACTAAAAGCAGACAGAAACAGCATGGACAAAAAAAATTAGACTAATATTCCTGATAGACATCGATGCAAAGATTCTCACCAAAATCTTAGTAAACCATAAGAAGTCAAAGCAGTGATCAACCATCTTCAACAAAGTAAGTCACAACTCTATGACTTCAGAGTTGATTATTCACCAAACACATAAGAATTGATGTTAATTCATCTCAAATGTTTCCAATATTTTGAATAGAAAAGATATCTTACAAATTCATTTTATGAGATAAATTTTGGCCTTATCCCAAAGCCAGATAAAGATAATACAAGAAAAAACATACAGGCTAAATCTCTGATGAACATAGGTGGTAACAGCAAGGCCAAGTCAATAATACATTATAAGGATTATATATATCAAATGGAAATTTTCTCTGAAATACAAGAAGGCTCACGGGGAAACATATCCTACGACAGTAAAGGCCATATGTAACAAGCCTACAACTAACATCATCTTCAAAGATGAAAAGCTAAAAGTTTTTCCTCCAAGATGAGGAATAAATCAACAATGTTCACTCTTAACCACTTCTACTTGGCAAAGTTCTAGCCAGAGCAAACGAACATGAAAAAGAAATCAAATAAAAAAGAAGTTAAACTCTATTTGTAGATGGAATGATCTTGTAAATAGACACTTTAAAGATTAACCAAAAAAAAGTTAGAATAATAAATGAATTAAGTAAACCTCAAGATTTAAGATCAACATATGAAAATCTATTCCATTTATAATAATGTAAGAATATTCTAGGAAAAAAATTAAGAGGAGATTAAAGATACTGATGAAAGAAGGCACAAATAAATGCTATTAGATCTCAGATTAAGTTTATCAAAATTTCCATGGAGTTTTTCAAAGAAATAGCAAAAATGATTATAAAATTCAGTTGGAGAGATAGCTCAAGTGGTAGAACACCTGTGCCAGACCCTGAATTTTATACCCATCACTTCATAAGCCCCCCCAAGCATCACCTGGTGCAGTCTAGATAACCACTGACTGTTGTGCGCAAGCTCTGTCAGAAACACCCTAGCAGGTTTAATACTCTGGGAGGGCCCCAAGACTGCCAAGGACCAATGGAATTGGCCCTTATTTAAAAAGACAAAAATACATGTAGAGTGAACACACACACACGCCAAATTAATAATGAAAAAAAGTCTTGAGAAAGACAAAGGTGGATAGATCACATCTTGTGGGGATCCAAATTATATTATTAAAATCACAGTAGTAAAAACTGCATGGCACATATTAACACAAAAACAGACTAATGGAATCAAAGAGATCCCAAAAATGCACATGGGATAGAACAATAGTACAGTGAGTAGGGCATTTTTCTTGCATGGTGGCTGATGGGGATTGGATTCCCTGCATCTTATGTGATCTCCCAAGCTGCTAGGAGTGATCCCAGAGAACAGAGTTAAGAGTATGCCCTGAGCACTGCTGGGCATGGGCCAAACCCCAAAAAACTAACAAACCAGAAATAAGAGCCTACACACACAGTCAACTAATCTTGGGCCACAAGTACACCATGAAGAAAGAGTAGTTGCTTAAATAACTGATGTTGGGGAAACTGGTTATCATCATAAAAAAAAAACACTAGATTGGATTCTTATACCACAACAGTAAAATTAACTCAAGAGACCCAAGACATAAATATAAGATCTAAACTATAACCCCCCTGGAAGAAATCATAGGGTAAAATCACTTTATCATTGATCCTGGCAATTAGTTTTTGTTACAAAATCAAAAGCCAACATTTGAGATTACATAAATCTAGAAATCAAGTGAGGTTTATTCTGCACAGCAAAATAAACAATGAACAAAATGAAAAGGGAGCCTACAGACTGGGAAGACAGTTTGTAAACTTTATAACTAAACATGGTTAAACCTCTGAAATAGATTAGAATCTGCTACTGCTTAATACCAGTACTCAAATAATCTCTTGGGCAAAGATTCTGTACACATTTTCCTTAAGAATATATAAAAATCACTAATAAGTATATGAAAAACTAATCGGTAGTGTCAGGAAAATGCAAATCAAAACCATAATGAGATATCATTTCATACCTGCTATGACGACTATTATTAAAGAACAAGAAATATCAAGCATTGATATGACAAAAAGAAAGTCTTATACATTGTTGACTAGGATGTAAAATGGCATAATTACTATAGAAAATAGAAAGATTTCTCAAAAACTTAGAAATATAACTACTGTACAGACTATGAGAACCCTCATTAGTATATAATTAAAAGGAATTAGTAATTTGATGAGATACATGGAATATTCACAATATTCCTAATCTGTTAGGAAATAACCTACATGTTCAGGATAAGTAAAATATGGTATTACGTACACTTATATGTATAAATACAGAGAATCTTATCTATCTTATATTATCTAACTATGATTAAAAAAGAAAATTCTGCTTTTGTGATGGTATGGAGTAGAGGCCAGGTTGAACTGGTGAGCATGAGAAGTTCTCTTCTCAGTCCAAGCCTTGATTCTGCACTGAGTAGGTCTATGATCTTGGAAGTGTGGCATGGCTTCCAGGGTTAGGAGTCAAATGGAAGAAGGAGAATTTTGAATACCATTTAGGGCTGTCTGGGTAGAAATCCTTTACAAAGTATGTCAGCACATCTGCACTTGTTTGTTCATTGCAGCACTCTTTACAATAGCTAGAATATGGAAAAAACCTGAGTGCCTGAGAACAGATGACTGGTTAAAGAAACTTTAGTATATCTACACAATGGAGTACTATGTAGCAGTTAGAAAAAATGAAGTCATGAAATTTACATACAAGTGGTACTACATGGAAAATATCATAATAAGCGAAATTAGAAAGAGAGGGACAGACATAAAAGATTGCATTAATCTGGATAATATAAAGTAACAAAATAAGAGACTAACACCCAAGGGCAGCTGTGATAAACACCAGGTTGTTCACTCCATGGCCTAGAAGCCAGCCGCACACTGTAGGGGCAAAAGCAGCTCAGATAGAGAAGGGAGCACCAAATAAAGGGTGCTGGGAAGATATGCCCAGGATGGGAGATGCATGCTGAAAGTAGTCTATAGACAGAACATGATTGCCACCCAATGTCTCTTCTGCAGACCACAGCACCCAAAAGGAGAGATAGAACAAAAGGGAGTGCCCTGTCACAGAGGCAGGGTGGGATGGGGGATGGGAGGGATGGGAGGGATACTGGGATTGGTGGGGGTGGAGAATGGGCACTGGTGGTGGGATGGGTACTCGACCATTGTATAACTGAAACCCAAGCACAACAACTTGTAAATCTACAACTGTACCTCATGGTGTTTCACTAATAAAAAATAAATAAATTTTAAAAAAAACAAAGTATGTCAGCACCAGGTACAGGCAAAGGAATATACTTGTGTTTGTATTAACTGATCAAATAAGATGAATTATGCATAACATGTGGGACTGTGCTCTGTTATCCCACCGATAACACATACCGGTGTCAGCTATTATTGCTTTACACGCCATGATATAGATATGCATAATGTAGAGTTTTGTGCTACTGTTATCTTAAACTGATAGGAAAGATGATACTGGGAAAGTTTACCCTAGTCCTGCTCCATCATAATTGATTTAGGGTCTCAGTGAAGTTTACCCTATTACAGGGCACTCAACCGCTCCCCTAGCACCTGAAAGCATTCATTAGCATCCCTCACCCCCTTCACACACTGGCTGCAATTTGGCTACTTCAACAAAAGAGTGTAATGATCCCTAATTATTTATGCTTTATATGTTTAAAACAGTTGGTTGAAAAAGTGTGTTATCTCCCAAGCACAGGGAAATAAAACCTAAATAAGTTTTATAGCTAAGCGATATGTTGGGAAGAAAAATAAAAATGTGTACCATGCAATAGAAATTATTTTATAAAACTTTTAACCAAAATAGCTAGCAGAAATTTAGGTTGCAGGGAAGTTAGAAAAGACAGTAACACATACAGGACTTTGCAAAGCAGATATCATGTATCTTGAACAGATTTATTTTTTGTAAGAGTTTTCAGCAAAGCCTGGCAAGCTACCCGTGATGTATTTGATATGCCAAACACAGTAACAAGTCTCACAATGGACACGTTACTGGCCCCGCTCGAGCAAATCGATGAACAACGGGAGGACAGTGCTACAGTGCTACTAGGGACTAAAATTTTAAAGGAAACCATAATAGAAGAAAAAAAGACATGGACAAATGAAAGGGGAATCAGACAGTGAGAGAGTGCCAGAGAGAGTGAATTCTAAACATGAGTCTATATTAATACAAAATGGGAGAAAAAGAGAAGGAGAGAGAAAGAATGAAGAGAATGAGAGAACTCTTTCTTATAGTAGAATGATAGGCATTAATAAAAGTACAAAGAATAGTAGAATTGAAAAAAATCTCTATTTGGCAAAAAACATAGATTATAACTCATTAGAAAGACAAGAATTATTCATTCTTGCCTTTGAGTGAATTCTTGCTAATTCTTGCTAATGAGAGAATCTTTTCAGAAGAAACATACTACTTCAACAGCAACCCAGTTCACACAATCCACTAGACTAAACTAGTGTCTAGATTGTAGACACCCTTATAAGCCAGAGCTCCAACGCTTTCTGTCACTTAAGTGCGCAAGTGATGAAGGCGCTTCTGTACCTCCCTAGGGCAGAATATTCTGAAGGATTAAACGATGGTTCTGACTCAGTCAGGGCTGGAGAACATCTCTGTGGTGTTGAGGAACAACATCCCAGGACTCTGGGCAAGAACTCATGTACGAAGGGACCAATAAAAGGTGGTTTTGGGGCTGGCAGGAAGCTCACTGCCCCATCCATGAATTGCACACCTGTTCACAGACTCAGAGATCTGTGTGCAGAACTTGCAAACTAGCGAGTAGCAAGGTTGCAGATTCATGCTCACCTCTCATCACATTTAATCAGAATCACGCTGTCGGTTCCAATTCCCAAGGCTGCAGCTCCCTTCTTGAGAGAGAAGTGGCTCTGTAAAAACAACACAGAAAACTTTACATGCAGTTACAGACAAAGTCAGGATCCATTCTCTCTGATGTTTTTTCCTTCCCTCCTTCTTCTAGACCATTTATTAGTGGTTTTACTTTCTACAGTTTCATTAGTTGTGGTCAACCAAGGCCCAACAGTTTTTAAGGAAGAGTAAACATACAAATACCAGGAGAGAGAAAGAGACAGACATGCCGTATTCCCATAATTTTTATTACAACATATTGTTATAATAATGATATTTTATTATTTACCATAGTTGGTAATTGATTATGGTAATTAATTATGTGCCTAATTTATAAATTAAACTGAATCATAAGTATGTTTGGGGTGAGTTTATCTAGGATTCAATTCTGTGTAGTGTTTCAGACATCCACTGACATCTCCGTGGCCTTGAGGTGTTGGAATGTACCCCTTTCATGGGGCACATTCTATATTTGGAGGAAGCGACTACTATATTTCTGATCTGGCCTCTAAATCCTGGATTGCTGAAAGAAGATAGCATTCTTCACTTGAACTTTGATTTTTGTGTTTTTGGGTATTTTGGCGCTGATGTGGAGGCACATCCCGCTGTGCTCAGGGCCTACTCCAGGCTCTGTGTTTCGGGGTCACTTCTAGTGATGCTCAGGGGAATCACATGAAGTGCCGAGGATTGCACCAAGGTCAGCTGTAAGCATGGCAAGTGTCAAAGTCCTTAACCCCTATACTTTGAGCTTAAAAATTTTTTGATTGTGGATAAATACACATAAAAACTTATCCTTTTTTTTTCATTTTGGGTCACACTCGGTGATGCTCAGGTGTTATTCCTGACTCTGTGCTCAGAAATTACTCCTGACAGTGCTTGGGGGACCATTGCCAGAGATCAAATCCAGGTCGGTGATGTGTAAGGCAAAAGCCCTACTTGCTGTACTACTGCTCTGGCCCCCCCAAATTTATCATCTTGATCATTTTCAAGTGTACAATTCAGTGCGTTTTATTGTGTGTTTGAGCAGATAGCTTAAAGGAATTGGAGTGCATTATTTGCATATGGAATGAGGTTTGATCCTGGCACCACATGGTACTCTAAACCCTGCCAGAAGTAGCAACTGAGCAATACTGAATATTGCCCCCCCCCAAATAAAAACACAACAAAGCAAAAGCAAAAGAATATATATATTGTTGTACAACCATCACCACCAACCATCTAGGAAATTACTTTTATCTTGTAAAACTCTATACATTAAATAACAATGTCCTCTTCTTCCCTTCCAATCAGCCTCTGGTAACCACTGTCCTACTGTTCATCTCTGTGAATCTTACATGTCTCATGTTTGTGGAATCACACAGAAATTGCCACTTTTGTTCACTGACTTATTTCTCTTAGCATAATGTTCTTGAAATACATGTTGCAACTGGTCTCTGAATGAATTGCAGTCACTGTATATATAGACCACATTTTCTGTTTTCATTTATCTCAGTCATTACTCAAGTTATTAACTCAAATCATAACACTTGAGTTACGACTACCTTTTGGCCATTGTAGATAATGGTGCTATGAACAAGCCTGTTCAAGTATCTTCAAAACATGTTTAAATATTTGAAAAAGATATTAAGCTTTGCTTTGAATTCTTCTTGGTTTAAGTGGGAATGCTGAATCATATAACAGTCCTACTCTTAAGCATTGCCATTCTCTTTTCCATAACAGCTGTATCATTTTGCCTTCCCTTCATCAGTACACAATGGTTCCCATTTTTCCACATCATTGCCATTATTATTTCCTGCTTTGGGACAATAATCATTGTACAGGGTGTGGAGTGTACCTCATTATGGCTTTGCTTTGTATTCCCCTAATTATTAATGCCGTTGAGCATCTTTTCCTGGACTTATTGGCCATTTGTACATCTTCTCTGGGGGAAAGCCTGTATAAGTCCTTCACTCATTTTTGAATCCTTTTCAAAAAATTTACTTGGGCATTTGAGTGAAAATAACAATACTGGAAATTGTAAAAGACCTGCTTCCCTGCATGCTAATTTCAGCCAATTGTGCTTAGTTGAGAGGCATAAGAACACATTAACTCTCTCCACATTGAGACGGTAGTGTACAGTTCCTGGATTCTACTCCATTGTCCAGTCTGGAGCAGGCTTCCAAAGGCTAATGATTTGAGCAAAATAGTGTAAGCAAAAAGGTCACATTGACAAGCAGCCATACAATTTTTGTGCTGTGGGTTGCTGATTCCAGTAGGGTTCTGAATCTCAATGGCTGTAATCACAGTGCAATTTGGAGAACTGAGAAAGGCTAACTAACCTAAGCCAGCTGTACTGCATCTGCCCAGCAGCCTCTCACTATTAACTACACATCATTAAACTGTCCAAAGGGAGGGCTGCTTCCTCAATTTACATCACCAAAGGGCTGCTGGCTGAAATTTTTTTTAAAATAATGTAGGAATACTGCTATTTGTTCAGCCATTGATTAAGCTGATTGAATTCGGCATGAACTCCACCTTACATTTTCATTTTATTTGTATCACTGTGAGATAGAGTTACAAAGCTTTCATGTTTGAGATTCAACTGTACAATGATGAACATCTATCCTTTCTCCAGTGCACATTTTCCATGACCGATGTCCCCAGTACCCCCCTTTCCCCACATCCAGATGGAATTTTTAAGTTCTGATTGCAGAGGGTTCTTCTAAAATACCCCCTTTGGATTCATCTGAATTTTCAAATATGCACTGTAGGAAGTGGTCATACACATTTTTAGGAGGTGTGTCTGATAAGCCAGAAAATAAAGTAAACCAATAAACAAGGCACTTAATTTCTATTGAATTTCTTTTGAATGCTTCTGCATTCAAAAAGATGAACTGTCACTAAAAAAGTGATGGCAAATGGCCATTAGCCCCATTTAGCAATTTCAAAAAGGGAAAAAAAGTAGACAGTCTTTAGGAAGATTTCTGGGAGTTAGAAGAGAAAATTTCATTGTTTTTTTTTTCAATTCTCTCAATTTAAAAATATTGTTCATGCTCATTTAGCAGATTCCTGGGCGACTGAAAAACAGGAGCTTGGGGGACACAGTGCAAAGCATCAATCGTACTGCCAGGAGGGCACAGAATGGATGAGGCAGCTGCCCCACTGAGCACACACAAACTATTCAAATTAGGACTTTTGGTGAATGAGCTCTTAAGCACTAAATTGCCAAATGGCAAATTGGGAATAAGTAAGGGATTTGGTGCACCTGGTCAATGAGAGGAAGTAGTTTTGTCTGTTCTTTAATGAGAAAGAAAAGGGCTCCTCAAATGAGAAGCAATTACCTAGGATAATTGATGGCTGTACCAAATGGCACATACTTAAGGAAAAATACATGCCCATATAGAAAGCTTTTAGAGCTGTGTTAAGAGGAAAGTTTATAGCTTTACAAGCATTCCTCAGGAAGGAAGAGCAAGTCAGCATAAGTAACCTAACCTCACAGCTTAAGAGCTTGGAGAATGACCAACAAAAGGAGCCCAATCTGAACAGCAGGAAGAAAATAATAAAACTCAAAGCAGAGATTAATGAGATGGAAACCCAAAAAACAATCCAAAAGATCAATGAAACCAAGAGTTGGTTCTTCAAGAAAATAAATAAGATCAATAAGCCTCTAGCAAAACTCACAAAGAAAGGGAGAGGGAAAACCCTAATAAACCGAATCAGAAATGAAAAAGGTGTCATTACAACAGAAACTACAGAAATTCAAAGGATCCTCAGGAAGTACTTTGAGAAGCTTTATGCCACGGAACATGAAAACCTCAAGGAAATGGATAAATTCCTAGACTCCTACAGACTCCCAAGTCTGAACCAAGAAGACCTGGAATACTTGAACAGACCTATCACCATCAAGGAAATTGAAACGGTAATAAAAAGTCTCCCCAAGCACAAAAGTCCTGGCCCAGATGGATTCACTAGTGAATTCTTCCAAATCTTTAAAGAGGAGTTACTCCCAATCCTCTTTAAGCTTTTCCACAAAATTGAAGTATCAAAAACACTTCCAAACAGTTTCTATGAAGCAAATATCACCCTGATACCAAAAGCAGACAGATACCACAAAGAAAGAGAATTACAGAACAGTGTCTCTGATGAACACAGATGCAAAGATCCTCAACAAACTATTAGCAAATAGAATCCAACGACTCATCAAAAAGATTATACACCATGACCAAGTAGGATTCGTCCCAGGCATGCAAGGATGGTTTAACATTCAGAAATCGATCAACATAACCCATCATATCAACAAAAGAAAAGATAAAAACCATATGATCATATCAATAGACGCAGAGAAAGCATTTGACAAGATCCAGCACCCATTTATGTTGAAAACTCTCAGCAAAATAGGCATTGAAGGAACTTTCCTCAATATAGTCAAAGCCCACGACAAGTATTATTCTCAATGGGGAAAAACTAAAAGCCTTCCCTCTAAGATCGAGCACAAGACAAGGTTGCCCACTTTTGCCACTCCTATTCAATATAGTACTGGAAGTCCTGGCCATTGCAGTTAGGCAAGAGAAAGGTATCAAGGGCGTATAGATAGGAAAGGAAGAGGTCAAACTATCACTATTTGCAGACAATATGATACTATACTTCGAAAACCCTAAAGATTCTACAGAAAAGCTCCTAGAAACAATAGGTCAGTTTAATAAAATGGCAGGCTACAAAATCAACACCCAATAGTCCATGGCTTTTTTATATGCAAATAACAAAAGAGAAGAAATAGACATTAAAAAAATGTTCACAATAATACCTCAGAAAATCAAGTACCTCGAAATCAGCTTAACCAAAAAGGTAAAGGACCCATACAAGCAAAATTACAAAACACTACTTCAAGAAATAAAAGAGGACACTAGGAAATGGAGACATATCCCCTGCTCATGGATAGGGAGGATTAACATTATCAACATGGCAATACTGCTCAAAGCACTATACAAATTCAATGTGGTCCCTATCAGGATTCGCATGACATTTTTCAAAGAAATAGACA